TAGTATATAAAAAATGACTGTAAAAGCTATTCCTAGCTTTAAACGGGTGCCAATATTTAAGTTATTAATGCTAAAAACAGTAGACCAAAGAAGTTTAACTTGAAGAGCCCTTGTTATATATATTACGTATTGCTTATGTACAACGCGTATTATTATATTAATTAATAGTTGTATAGAATGGCTATTGATTGGCAAATTACCACATTTTTGATATTCACAAATTAACCAATCATAGAGTTTCTTGTATTTTTAATTTATACAGTTGAATACTTTTATCCCACTAGCGTAGTAAATTTTTGTATATCTCTGGAATTCACTCTACCAGGGTATGACTTAAAATTTTTGCCGATCACTTTTGCCAGCCAATCAGATGCCGGAAAAGAACTACACGTACTGTACGCTAAAGTTTTTCAGGTATCATATAAATGGCACATCACTAGGTATAACCCCTGCTTAGAGATGGTTTTTAATCTAGAAAAAAAGTAATATGCAATAATTATAGGTAAACTATACCGGTATTTATGCTGGGTGCATTGTGAAAACCAACTGTCGACTAATCGATTCGTTGATTGGGTGCATTGTGAAAACCAACTGTCGACTAATCGATTCGTTGATTGGGTGATTAATTAACCAACTATCCGTTGATGGATTATCTTATCTTTAGTCGTTGATTGATCATCTACATACTACGTAAATTTTAAAAATAACTATATTAACCGGGAGAAATTCCGGTTACACGGATCGGAAAATATAAGTTCTATTTTATAGCATCGGTTTTTTTTGGTGTCTTGACGTCGTTGTTTGTTGAAGCTCTTTTCGTTAGTGTTCTATACGATTGCGTCGTTTGCCGGTGCTCTTTTCATGTCATCTTGTATGTTTGCGTCGTTTTCCAGTACCGTTTCCTTTGTATCGGCCTTTATTCTGGTTGGTGCCGTCGTATTTTGGTGTCGCCGTTTTTTGGTGTTTCGCTTTGTTATCAATACCTTCGTTGATGTTTGGTAGAGTTGCTGGCGTTAGTTCACTTCTGGACAATTTGTTTTAGGTTTCTTGGTTGACGCGATGTAGGGCGGTGGAGGATTAAAGCAGTAGGCTTCTGTGATATAATTCTTTGACTGATTCTTAACAACTAGTGCTAGGTTTCTTCATAATGCAGAGATATTTAGGTTTGGGTTTGTGAGTAGGTTGAGGCTATAATAAAGCTAACAGTTACCAAACACCCCTATTCCTTGGGTATTCTGTTTATCGAATCCAATTATAAATAATAAAAATTTTAAATTAAATTACTTAATAGAACTATGGGAATTAATTGAAATATGAAGCTACAAAAGCCTTCTTAACTCTAAAGTAATATCTTTTGATTATCAAGTTTCAGTATGACTGAAATTGCAGTTGCAATCATTGATGAGCTGTCATGCCCGAAATAATTAATTTCGGGGCCGAGCGAAACAGTATCAAGTGTTACATCTAATTAAGATAAAACTTTTCGTTAGTGTCGTTTGCTTATATAATGATTTCTAATCAATATAAAAAATGTCTACGATGATAAAGTATTTGCGCATTTTGCCCATCCTTAATTTTGATTAAAAATTTTATCCTCAGTAAAAATTGCGACTTCGGCCAGAGTTGAGATTGAAATTAACCAATAAAATTCGTCAGTAATTAAATAATTAGACCATGGATAAGAATAAAAGATCTTTTTCATTAGTAAATTGGTAATTCGCTAATAATATTAAAAAATCTTGTAAATAAAAGAGCAATGGTACACTAACGCTGATTGTAGCCAATAGAAATCACAAGATCTCGTGTAACTTATAGCGCTTTGCAATAAAGTGTGACACTGTGATTTTTGTGATGATAGTAGTTGGAAATTTCGGAGATTTATATTTTATATTAATTATATACTTCAATAACCAATTGTATATATTGTTTAAAATCTTTAAAATTGTCGGAGAATCGAAAAATCTGCTAAAATCGCTGATTTTTTGCAATTTCGCATGACATCGTGATCTGCAGATGTCACACTTTATTGCAAAGCGCCATAAATTCGAAATGCATTGTGAAAACAGAAATATCGCAAATAACTCAAGATTTCACTATGCTAACCACACAGTTTGACTTCTAAATAAAAGTTTTCAGCACGAAATTTTATTTATATAAGAACATTTTAAATATCGAATATTAAGTAACCCCTGAAAATTGTTGATCTATATGCAAAAATCAGCCAATTACAATAAGAACCGCTAGTACGTACAGTACATGTTATTATTATAACAAAATTGATGAGAGATTATAATCATAACATGTACTACGTATCATTACCACTGTTGTATTTGTAAAATTTATTATCATTACCATACAATAATGAATAAAAAAATTCCTTCTACCATCGTTACTGCTGTGCTGTTATTGCTTAAAATTTTTATAGTTTTATACTATATATTATTTGGAATTTTTTTCTTTGATTATTAACACATTTAAATCAACTAATTTTTTTTATAACGATAAGTTCTTTTACTATGTCAGATCAACAACCCAAATCCTGTATAGGATGTCATACTATTCAAATAATGAAGATTTTTTGAATGAAAAAGAATCAAGGTCAAAAAAAATGGGTACAATGCAAAAACCAAATTAAATTATCATGTCAAGAACAAACTGGCACGACAATTATAAAATTTTATATTGCAAAAAAATTATCTAAAATTCAAATATTTTTAGAACGATAGTAATAATGAAATAAATATGACAGTTTATTTTTTAACATCTTGAAGATTTTTTGGTAATTTAAAATAATTATCATCCATTATAACCTTTGAGTCATTGGATTAGTCTCATAAATGATTTTTATAGTACTAAATGAAGCACATCCTTTGAAACTATTAACTTATTGGTCTAAAATAGAAATAAAAAACAAATGCTTGTAAAAAAATTGAATTTGCCTACAAATACACTAAGGACATTTTCTGATTAGTGAATCACATAATAACATGTACCCGGCAGATCTGTCCGGATACCATTTTTGAGGGCGACTCTAGGGTCGTTACGGTAGTAGTTTACATAGCTGAAATTGCCTAAGTAGACTGGATTATCCTAATTTGGAGTAGCCATGTCATGTGCTATATGACTTCTCCGAATAACAATAGTTTGCCTTAATAATTTATATAAGTGTTTTTAGGTTACTTAGTAAGAAAGATTACTAAAAAACAGATTATAAATATCTACAATATAAAATTATAAAATATATAATGTTAGTTTAATTTAAATAAATTATGTTTTTATTTTTTTATTTTATTGAATTTATTTTTTATTTTATTAATTTATTCAAAAAAATAAAAGATCAAATAATATCTTTATATCACAAAAATTAAAACAAAATTATGGTATTCAAAAATTGAACCTTTGATCACATATATTTAAAAGGTTTCTAAATTAATATACTTACCAAAATTGTAAGTTTTTATTAATAAAATAGTCATTAGATTTAGAAGAAGAAGAAGCAATCATACAGTGCAAATTAAAAATAAACTTATATTTAAAAAATACCAAATACTTTCTTTATGTGATTCAGAATATACTTATTAGTTTGTTTTTATTTTTTGTATTAAATTAATTAAACTAAATCTAAAATTACTTCAATTCTGAATATTAACAAAATTGTTTAACAAGTTTATTACTTAATATTTCAACTTTCAAAAAACAAAGCATTTAATATTTATATTAATATTTTTTTTACTAGTATTAACCTATTTAGTTATATATAAAAAAACAGTTATAATAGTTGTAAAACAATAAGAATTAATATTTCAAAATTTTTTACTTATTTAAAAATAAAAACATTACAAAAATTCAAATGAAATACTTTTTCTGAAACAGTTGTAAATGATGTTTTAGTTCTGTTTTGAATGGTAATAGTTTTGTTACTATGTTAACAACTATACATAAAATTTTGAGTAAGAAATTTCAAGTAGAATATAAAAAAAGAAGGCTATAAACAACTAATATAAATTAATAAAAGTTTATAATAGGTTTGATAATGCAAGTAAAAAATTCTTTCTATATTTGCTATAATAGATAATTACAACTATAATATAAGTAATATTGATATAGCTTATTAATTAAGAGATTATTATGTTATACAAATTTCTGCATATTGTACTTGAATAATATTATTTTTAATGACCAAAATTTAATGTTTCATAGGAGATCAAAAATTTTCTTAAAGTTAGTTGTCATCCAAATATTATTAAATTCTTTGGGATTTCCATGGGTAAGTTTTTGATTCCTTAAGCTTTCTTTATTCAATCACATGTTATAAATTCTAAATTTATTTAAATTCTTAATATTAAAGATTCATCTAGTCCAAACACATTTTTGGTTATGGAGTATGCTGATAGTGGAAATTTACGAACATATTTGAAAAAAAATTTAGAATTAAGCTAGCAAGATAAATTTCACATTGCTCTTGCTATTGCAGATGGGCTTATGTTCTTGTGCAGGAATGATATTATTCATTGTGACCTCGTAAATTATCAATTTATCAATTTATCTATTTATATTTGCTTTATAATATGATAATTCTAATTACATAAACCATTAATTTATATCATATTCTTTAGCATTCTAAAAATATACTTATTAATAATAAAGTGATGAAAATAGCAGATTTCATTCCATCCTCGGATTTAAATGGTTATAAAATGCCAGCATATATTGAGCCACAATTTTTCATCGATAATAATAATCAGTCCTATAAATGTAATAGAAAATCTGATGTTTATAGTTATGGTATTATACTCTGGGAAATTTCAAGTGGACAAAAACTTTTTAAATATTTGGAATTATGGAAAATAATTAACCGTACACTTAAAGGAGAAAGAGAAACACCTATAAAAGACACACCATTTGATTATTTAGCCCTTTATAAGAAATGTTGGAATGAAGAACCTATAAATCGACCAGATATTAAAACCATTTATGAATCTTTAGAAACAATTATTGAAATGGTATTATTTAAGTATTGTAGTCTTGTAAATTAATTTATAAGGATCACTAATTATTAACATATATTTATACTCCTTTAGAATGCTAACAGATTCTTAGTTCATAAAAAAAAGATTTCGCCAGATTTGAATACTATTAAATTAGAGCAAAAAGATCCTGATAAACTTTCTAGAAAAGGTATTGTTAGCTTTGCCAATGTTGTTTAATTCTGTAAATTAATAAATAGTTCAAATAGAGCAATGGAGCTATTGCAAATATCAACTGATATTAGTTATAAAAATACTGAAAAACATATTTACATTTGCCAGCATCAACTTATATGACTTCAATAACATGAAATGTTAATAATAAATCCACTCATTTAAATGTAGATTCAAATGAACTTAGGGTAAATCATACAGGTGAGAAAATCTGCATATTATGAGTAGGTGTCAAAAAGCACTTGAAATTCATAATTAACTCTTATCAAGATGAAATTGATACTATAAGTAATGAAAAGAATGAACACGATGAAGACAATGAAGAAAATAAAGATAATGGGTAAGATGAAAACATTTGTTAATCTTAAATAGATTCGGTTCCTTATAATTTCTCAAATATTTTCAAGAATTATCACATCTGTTGGACTAAATAAGACACCTGGTAATTACAAATTCTAATTTTATTATTTATAAGAGTATATTTATTCAATATTTTATTATTAATTAAATATTTATAGGGTGTGATAAAAACTCTTAGGAATATCAAAACATTGACATTGGTGACATTTATATGTAGTAATCATCATTATAGAATTTTATTCATTGTTAACCTGTAGTTTTTCTTTAACTACAGTGATATCAGAAGCTGCTCAACTATAGTATGACGACTATAACTTGACAGGTTCTATACAAAAGTCTACACAAGACTTTAACAAAATACAGAGTGATTTGGGATTTTAAGGC